TGTGTAATAATTTTTGTGTCTAAATATAATAAAGGTTCTAAGAATTTTTGGGACTAAATGTAATAAATGTCCTAAATGCAGTGTAATAATGGCCATGATTGACAAATGGTTGATTGATTGTAATAATTTTTGGGTCTAAATGTAATACAGTTCCTATGTGTAATAATTTTAGGGTCTAAATGTAATAAAGGTTCTAATTGTAATAAGTTTTGGATCTAAATGTAATAAAGGTCCTATGTGAAATTCTTTTGGGTCTAAATGTAATAAAGGTTCTAATTGTAATAAGTTTTGGGTCTAAATGTAATAAAGGTGCTATGTGTGATAATTATTGTTTGCTCAAATTCGGTCATACTAATTACCGTCAACAGGGCCGCCAAGAGCGGCCACGAGCCCCGTGACATCTTCGTTGCCACGACCCATTAGTTGAGGGTCTGGGGCCGCCCAGGGCCTCGGGGGGGGGGGGCCCCAGACCCTCAACTAATGGGTCGTTATTAATATTGCGCTGTACCAGAACAACGATATAAACAATACAGATAAAAATACAAATAACAATTTATGAAAAGGCACCTCTTTAACAAAATGGGGAAAAAAATCAAACCTGGCAACGAAACAGAGCTGTCCTTAAAATTGGATAACAACCTGGCAATTAATTATTTATAAAAAAAACGTCGCGAGTCGCTACCGTCATGAATCGCTGGGAAAGAACGTTGTTTTTGGTAATAAAATGCGAAAAAGTGGTGTAATTAGTGAGAGAACTGGATGAAAAAGAATTGTAAGATATTGTTAGGAGCGCACAGTAGGTAAAAAGACAATTTTTGAAGATAGAAGTGTTATAGTACTAAAGTGCATTAGCGCCGAAAATTTGAATGCAAAGCCGAACTATGCCTAGGCCAAAATGAAATTTATTGTTGTTTTTTATTGTTGCCTTTAGGCTTTACATACATATATAGGTGATGTACTGGTCCTTTGGATGCAGGACTAAAGTCCTCTATATCCAGATCCAAACCGGGCAATTCATTAATGGTGCTAAAAAATTGGCGCTAATGCACTTTTGCACCATACTTTTAATTCTTAATTTTCTTACCTCAATGTTCTTCTCACAGCCACAACATATAATTTTAAAACATTTTTACATGATTCAACCACTCACAAAAAGTACATTTTCCAACGAAAAAATACCTTTATAAATAAAGGTTGATAGTGATACAGCATTTCCATGCTTGCTAGCACCGCCAAGCTCTCTCTATTTTGCAATCAGTAAGAAATTGCCAGAATGTCCGAGTCAATTCTTAAATTTCTAAATTACTAAACTAAGGACAGTGAATCATAATTTTCGACAACAAATGTGGCATCATGCAGTACCATCTTTTTGTTCAACTTTCTTGTTGTAATCGAGGTTCATCAAACAACCTTTTAGCATTGGCTTTGCTAATTGTTCTGCTAGATTATGCCATTAAATTGGCCTAGGCCCTATTAATGTCTGTGTATGCATTTAAATCATTACTAATCTTTTTAAAGTAATAATATTGTACATGGATTGTGAATTTCATGTCACATAATCAAACACCATACAATATAACGCATACCTGAAATGACACTCGAATGCAAATAGATATGTTTTTATAAATGTTTAATTACATAAAACTTCACACTGTAAACTCTGACATTCTGGCTATTTCTTACTAATTGCAAAATGGCAGTAGCTTGTCGTGCTAGCGAGCACAGATTTGCTGTACTTATTTGTTAAAAAGGTACTTTGTGAGTGGTTGAATCATGTGAACATGTTTGATAATGTTTTGACTGTGAGAAGAACATTGAGGTAAAAAAATTAAGAATTAAATGTTAGGTACGAAAGTGCATTAGCGCCAAAACGTGAACCTGAGAGTTTGTTAACAAAATAAAGACTGCAGAAAAATAACGCTTTGTCTTTGATATGACTACTAGTGTCAATGATGGCAGATCTGGTGGAAAAAAGGCCTAAAGTAGAATTAACTGAAGATGACTATCGAAAACTCCAACTTCAAATCCATCGTGCACTTGAAGATCAAGAACTGAACACTCTCAAGTTCTTATGCCTTGATGAATCTATTGGACTCCAATTTGGAACGCTAGAATCTTGTAAAAATGGTCTTGATATTTTTTCAAATTTGGAAAAACTCTTGCATCTTTCTAACAAGAAATTGGATCTACTCATCGAACTCATGGATCTCATACGACGTCCTGATTTACAATGCAAAGTAGAAGGAAAATGTGATAATCTAGAAGAGAAAAAGAGGATAATATCCCCTTACAGGTGTGTTCTATTGGGTACATATTTAATAAACCGAATTAATCACCAAACCAAAGCCTATATAGTGGGTATAACATCAAAACAAACAGCTAGGTGGCAGTTTTTCCACAAAATAATAAGCTTCCACTCGAGTAATTTTGAGTCTTTAAACTCCTCAAACTTTTTATTTGTACATTTTATCTTAAAATAACTTATGGAAAAGGCTTGGTAAATATTTGTTTAATAAACAGCACAGATTGGCCTGCTAGTTTTGAAATGGAGTGATGAAAGAAACAAATGGAAAACTTGAACATTTCTGCATAGCCTCCTCGCGTGAACACGGGCCCAGCCCTAGACTAGAGAGTCATACAAATAAGGTTTTCCTGACTCATTGACCATCGTAGTCAAGAGAAACATCTTATTCTACAATTCAGCAATTTAAGTTTGTCCAAGTTTAAATATTTCATACAGAAATTGCAATAAAGTGACTTGGTGACAGTATTTAAGCTGAATATGTACCTCTAATCAAAAGCGATCACCTTAGTCAGCGCTGGCTTTGGAGAGTTCCGCCAGCGACGGGCCTGGGCCCCCTAGAAATCCTCTCAAAATTCTTCATACTTTTAGTCTGAATGAAAATTTAAATCAAATCAACTATTGTAGTTAATCTCATGTATCTATGAATCATTCAAAATGTGTACATTGTTATAAAAAGTATCATCTACGCTAACTTCATTACATTTTAGACGATTTAATAGACACCACTTTCGACTCCACTCAATGCATTAGCATAGTAGGAGTTTACGATGTAAACAATTTTTAATACTCAATCGGCCAAATTTTGAAGACCTCATCTAAGGTGACTAATTCGGTATATTGGAACAATCTGTTAATAATAAAAATATTTTGTTTGTGATGAGTTAAAAACAGTAAGAGTCAATTATATGATTTACTTACTTTTGTTTTAAGCTTTGAGGACAGTCCTACACCCGTCGCCCTACAAATGATCTCTGATCTTGGTGATTGACGACCTGACACCCTTCTGTTTGAAAATTGACTGACTGGACTGTCATTAAAAATGATTTGTTAGGCATCCAGGCCCTATTAAAATATTACAAACTTCATTCGCATAGAAAACATTTATTAGTAAATTAAACAAAAAACTTACCTTTTAGAAAGGAAAATACATAATAATTTCTGATATTGTTGATATATTTTTGATACATATTGATATATAAAATAATATATATGTTTCTCTCATATTTTCTTAATCCATTTTTCTTGTGTGAATTGTAAATTTAATAAACCTATTCTATATAAAATTTTAGTTTGATCTCTATTTTTATTCAAAATAACTATCTAGATGAGAAGTTTTATTAAAAATAAAATAATAATCTAAACAAGAGTTTGACCTAATATACTAATGTTTTTTTTTAATCAACTCATAGATTTTACATATTTTTATATATGTTCTGTAATAATAAAAAATCTGTATATGTTATTTGTTATTAGGAGAATGGTGCTGGAATTGACAAATGTTATAAGCGATAATGAGTTAAAGGAGTTAAAGGAGTCAACATTGAAATCAAAGTTAACTTACAACAAAATTGCAGACATGCAAAAGCCAATACAAATGATGTATGCTCTTGAACAGCAGGGTATCATAGCACCTAACGATGTAGAGTACCTGAATACAATTTTTGAACATCTAAACAGAAAATTGTTTGCAGGTGTAGTATTGAAGTACCAGCAGGAAGGTATGTCTTTATTTTTTCCTTTACTGTGCATTGTTGAGCTTGGTGGTTAAGTCTTGCTGTTTGATGGAGTAGAGGTGCAGAGATGATATTTGCATGTTTTTACTGTATTATAATTGTACAGTAAAATTAGATGTGTTAGACAAGGACATGATCTCGCCCAGCAGGACTATGGTTGGTGCACTCTCATGAGTCTTTAGGCAAGTGCTGCACATTCTCAGATGGGATAGATCGTATCTCACCTCCAGTGTTAAACCAAGAATTTCTCTGTATTTGTAACTTAAAATAATAAAATATATTAGAATTGTGAGCAAACCATGTATAAAATATGCAAAAAGAAACAAGAAACAACTAGAATATTGAAAACCTCTTATCTAGTGCATTACAATGATCCATATATTTATGACTTTCCTGTATAAAGCAAGATGCAATTCTTTGTATAGTCTGTGTAACTTAAAATGTATCTGGGTAAAGGGGCCTAAACATGTTTGCGATACAGACACCTTTTCACATAAATGCATTATAAGTAGAAAATAACTTGAATCGATGTCACTCAGTGAATGTGGATGGTCGAAGTGCAGGTCAAAGTGACATGATACTGTAGTGTCGCTCATAAAGAGGGAGTACAAAACCCTCAAACAGATGCTCATTTACCCCAAAAAATGTCTAATTTTCTTCAGATATACCTATTTTGAAATTTGAATGATTTTAGACAATAAACCACCATTTTAACACGCTTATGGTCACACACCAGCTAGTAGCTACATCCCCGAAGCCAAGCTTTTTTTCTGTCAGTATGAACAAGGATCCCCTAAAAAAGTTGGATATACATAAAATACTTATTATTAACGTTTATTCTCACTAGTGTTGATCGGGAAATACAAGATGGACTGCAAGCCACATGGTTTGTGCATTATCATCAATAACGTCAAATTTTCACCTCCTTCATCAAGCTTAGTTCTTGAAGAACGTAAAGGCTCAGAAAAGGATAAAGGTAACCACTGCTCTTATTGAATACTACTGTATTGCTATTTTTTAATATTATCATTATTAAACCACAATTATTGTTTAATAATATAAATCCTATTATTATTATTAAGGAGACACCTTCGAAATAAAAAAAGTGTCCCCTTAATAGGGGTGTTAGTCCCTGTGAAGGGGTTAGCTGTAAATATGCAGTGTTAAAAGATACACATTCTTTCATTTTGTGGCCAAAAATCATTCTGATTTTAATTTGAAAGCTAAATAATATAGCTTTCAAATTGATATCATTATGATTTTATTTGAAAACTAATAATTTAGCCTATAGGGTCATTCCGTGCCAACTCGACAAATTTTCAGAAAATCGTGGCTGGGTACCGTCTCAGATTTTCTTGAAACTCGGATATAATGTGCACCAACATGTCTGACGAACAAACCCAAAATTTGACTTGCCAATTCCAAGTCGTTTAGAAGTTACGGCCATTTGAAATTTTAGGGTCATACCCCTTTTTAGCTATCAATTATGACATAAAAATACCCAAATCAGTTATTAAATGGGTCTTATGCAACAAATTATTAATATATAGTTGGAAATGTTTCACCACAAAAAATTCCGGATTTTCAACTTATCCTTTTAGGGGGTAATCGTAGGTCAAAAGGTCATTCGGAACAAAAAATGCACAAAAATGCCTCATTTTCATGGTGACCTTTGACCCTGTGGGCAAGTATGCTTTTTGTTAAAACTTGCACCATTAATTAATTTACATATGATGATCAGATGTTCCAAATATCAGCTTGGTGTCTTTATCCCTTCATGTTTAAAAAGCGATTTGAAAAGGGGTATATTTTTCAATTTGCGACAGTATCAGTGCGTAAATGTGATAAAATTAATTTTTGAATAACGATAATATTAAAAATAATCTGCCTAGACCCTTGAAACTTATAATTCTAAAACAACTTTATGTTCCTATTTCAGGCATGCAGTTCATTAAGGGATATAGTGTTTCATTAGTAAGATATGGCCCCCCAAAAATGGCCCAAGTGCAAGAATTGCGCAATAAAATTGTATTTACTGTTGATTTCAAATGAGCATAATACTATCCGTGTACTGTCTAGAGCCGTGAAACCTTTCATTCTAGGACAATTTTTTGTGTTGATTTCAGTTATGCAGTCTGTTAAAGGGATAAATTGTTTAATTAGTAAGATATTATACCCCAAAAATGGCCCAAATGCAAGAATTGTGCAATAAAATTGTGTTACGATTGATTTCAAATGAGCATAATATTATCTGTGAACGGTCTAGAGGCATGAAACCTTTCATTCTAAGACAACTTTTTGTGCTGATTGCAGTTATGCATTTTGTTAAAGGGATCCATTGTTTAATTAGTAAGATATTTTGCCCCAAAAATGGCCCAAGCGCAAAATTGCACCATAACATTGTGCGACTATTTTGATATTTAAAATGAGTATAACATTAACAGTGTACAGTTCAGAACCATGTAAACTTAAATTCTAGTACATATTTGTACACTTATTTAATTCATGCAGTTTGTTAAGGGATACAGACTTTTATCTTACTAACTAATAGTTAGTAAGATAGTTTGCCCCAAAAATGGCCCAAGTGCAACAATCAAGCAATAACATTGTGTGACATTGAATTTAAATGAGCATAAATTTTACATTGTACTGTCTAGAGCCATGAAACTTTTACTTCAAAAACAACCTTTTGTGCTTATTTCAGTCATGCACTCAGGTGGTAAGGGACACAATGTTTAATTATTAAGATATTGGGCCCCCAAAAATGGCTCTTGTGCGAGAATGGTGAAAAGCACTGTTATTTCACAATTCTGGGGTCGGTACAATATCTTACTAATTAAAGACTGTGTTCCTTAACCAGACTACGTGACTGAAATAAGCACAAAAGTTTTTCTAGAATTAAAGGTTTTATGGCTATAGGCAGTAGTACACTGATAATATTGTGCTCATATTTAAAATATATGTTACTATGCAATTCTTGCACTTGAGCCATTTTTTGGTGCAAAATATCATACTAACTAACCCCTCTGTCCCTTAACAGACGTCATGAATTAAATAAGCATACAAATGTGTACTAGAATATAGGTTTCATGGTTCTAAACAGAACACTGTTAATGTTATGCTCATTTGAAATATATCAATATTAGTCGCAC